AAACATCAGTAACATAAGGAACATAACTTCCGGAAAAACAATAATTTTATCGAATTCGTATGGTAGACTAGGATACTTAACCAGGTTTTTTAATAGACTTCAAAAAAGGAGGTTACCAATTCGATTATTTTTAAAACTTTTTTCTAAGTGAATCGATTTTTATGATTTGATACCTTTTAAAAACTGATGCTTCTCATGTTGTTCCTTTTTTTTTTTCAGATCTGACCAATAGTTTTTGGGTCATACTTATTTATGTATATTTGAATGATTTCGACAACATGGATGTCATTCATTAATAGGAATAGAAATTATGTCCATCCTACATACAGTTGGAAATATTGTAACAAGTTAGACGTCGTAAAAACTGTCTAGGTATAATAAAAAGGTTTAAAAGAGTCGTATAGGGTGAGGTGGGGGTTGCATAGTCTCACCTTTTGTGTATGGTTTGACCACGCCCGTTTACTTGGACATGAGCCAAGAACCTATCTCCCTATAATATCATTGTACGTGTTCAGGCGATGTTTTTTAATGCTTTGAGTGCATGTACAATGACTATTTGTGGATGTACATATTTGCTTCCTTCCTAATTTAGATTTTCTGACTTGCCTTTATGGTTTGTATGGTAAATTCAAAGTTATGGCGAATTTAATTATTGCACAATTACGGCGAAACTATTTCCCTACATGACAACGCTTGGCCTCATGTTGCAAAACCTGTGAAAACTTACCAGGAAACGCTTAAATGGGAAGTTCTACCCCATTCGCTGTATTCACCTGACATAGCCCCTTCTGATTTTCACCTATTCCGTTCGATGGCACATGGCCTAAATGACCAACACTTACATTCGTATGAAGAAGCTAAGAAATGGATCGATTTTTGGATAGTCTCTAAAAGACACATCGTTTTTCCGTCGCGGAATCCATATATCGCCAGAAAGATGGGAGAAAGTTACAGAAGGAAGAAAAAAAAAGAAAGAGAAAGCTAGCGATGGGATTATACTTTGAATAAAATATTTTTGTTCCTTATAATTTAAATTAAGATTTATTTTGAAAAAGAATCAGCCAGAACTTATTCAAAGTCCTAATAATAATGACCAGTTTTTATTTTCACAGAAATTTGCAGTTTTTATTCATACCTAACTCTGAAAGACCAACCTCTGATGATTGAAGGTAATTTAAGCTATATTCGTTCCTTTAATGAACTGGAACATTAACGCAATACGATCGTACATTACTCGGAAGCCCCTGGTATATGAACATCGTAAATACATCAAATAAAACGAACCAATGACTCAGGAAACAAAAGGCTAATGCAATTATAATCGTGTGGACGGGAAAGGACGAAGTCAGACCAATCGATGAGTCTAGACGCGACGGCGGCGGCGTGCTGACCAATAACGGTAGCTTAAATTTTCATTCAAGTTTTTACATACAACCTTATCTTTGTACAAATTCACTGTACGGGTGTATGTCACTGAACTCCTCCTAAACGGCTGGACCGATTTGAATGATTTTTATATGAGTTTGGATTAGATTTATAAATCAGCCCGGCAGATGGCGCTTCTCGGTACCTAGGTTATTTATCTATACTGCAACTAAAAGGCTGGATCGACTTGAATGAATTTTTGTGTATGCATTCACAGGACGTTTGCCGGGTCCGGTAGTAAGATATAAGACCTTATAAGTTATAAGATAAAAACCATTTCTTTTGGGCTTATTAACCGCAAAAATATATATACATATCTAGCTTTGTTGTTTTTTTATCATCGATTGAAAAATCTCTTACGAGCTCAGAAAAAGCAATCGAGAACAATTATTGTTTTCTTAACCAAAACATAAATCAAAACTATTTGTTGTAATTAATTATTATTCTGCGAGAACCCGTAACCTAAAGCGAAAACAATTAGTGGTCACCGCATTCTAATATGAACATACAATGCGTGCAGCAAAGATGTTTTTATCTATATATTAAAACGTGAAGCAAAAACTTTGTATCCCTTTTTACGAAAATTGCGCAGACGAAGGAGTATGAAATTTTCCACACTTATAGAGAATATAGAGAACAAGTGCACAATGCTAATATTTTTTTTAAATAATGCATAAAAGATACATTAAATCAATAAAAAAAACATTACACACACTACATACCATGTATTTGACGCACACATGCATGCATACTTTTTATTGTCAAACTTTTGTTCTTGACGTCTGTGGTCAAATTGAGAATAGATTAAATATTGGTTATCTTTATTAATATTTTTTAATAGTGTAGCCTTGGCGAAATTTGTGATTATAGAAGTATAAAATACAACCATAATAGTGTACAAACTTACAATTTCAATTAATTATAGTCGAATTTCAACTACTGCGGGACCTCTACTCCTCTTAATTTTGTTTATTGTCATCATGTCAGTAATTATTGTCAGGCACTACTCACCTGTCAATTTGCGTACGGGAAGTTTCGTCTAAGAAGGACAAACACTATTAAAAAAAGATAGATACATATAGTTTTGCTTATATAATTTTTCGTTGGTATCATTGAAAATAAGTTATCATGTTATCGGTCACTTTTAATTGTGTCAATAACCGAGGGAGATATTCTCAATGTAGCTATGAACTTTTAAGAAGCATTTATTTTTTAACCTTTAATTGCTAAGTTGGGCTTTAATTGATTTACTTTTTAATTGCTCAGGTGGGTGGACTAACTCACCGTTTTCCCGATGTTAAGACGTTATCTGAGCCCATAGACATCAACAGCGTAAATACCACACTACCCATCTTTATATGGGAGTTCTAAATCTCAGTTTTTACAGAACAAAGACTGCCCAAAACTTCAAACCGAAACGCATTATTGCTTCATAGCAAAAATAGGCAAGGTGAGGGTACCTATCAAAAGTTTAATATATAAAAATGAATTGCTGTTCCTTAGTCTCGCTGAAACTCGAGAACGGCTGGACCGATTTGGCTAATTTTGGTCTTCAATTATTCGGGGAAGTCCAGGGAAGGTTTAAAAGGTGAGAAAATATAAAAAAGCTCGGAATTATATAAAAACAAACAATTTTGTTTTTCCTTGATGTGTCCCCTTGACGTGTCTTTTATTTATCGATTGAGGCACTACGAAGTCTGCCGGGTCAGCTAGTGATAAATAAATAAAAAAGGATAACCCTTTATTTTTTATAGAAGTTTTTTCATTCGTGATCGCGAAACATCGCCGCATCGTAAATAGCAAGTAAAGTTAAATAAACACGATGATTAAACCGTAAAATTGTTTACCCACGTCTACGACCCGCGGAAACCTTACAGAGTGCTATATAATATAGCTGAATTAATCTACTTTACTCGCCATTAAACAGGCTATAAAATGTTCGGCGACAGTTCAGAGTTTAACGTCGTTTCCGATATCACGTTTCCGCCCTAATTGATCACAATGATAATTGTACGTTAATCTACTTATTATGGATATTGGATGTACGATGACTCATAATTAAAGTCGTTTGACGATTCTTTCGTCGCTTTCATCTACTGCGGTTGGAATTTCGTTTAGTCATGAATAATTCAAAACAATGTTTTTACATAACAAGCAATGTAAAACAAACAGAATTTAATCACGCGAGGAATCTACCGTATCGAAGGAATGCGGGCGTCAACCTTTACGTTACATTGCGTGTTCACGTCACATGAACTTGTTAAAAGGATAAAACTAAGTATTTATCTTGAGTTCAGTACCTTAATGTACATTATTTTCCGTTGACATCCTGTATAATTTAAATTAGTTTTCGTTTGGATATAACAAACACGAACAATATGTATATTATATACTTTTACACAACACAAATAGTATGCATTGATAAAATAAAAAGTAGCAGCAATAAACCTAAGCAGGTTTTTCCTCATGTATACATAGGCAACAGTTGAAATACAGCTGTCCACACATTTTCTTTTAAACAAAAAAGAAGGTAACGGTGAAGTCGTAACATGGAATTCAATCTACGGATTTATATTATAGATGTTACTAACAGGGGTTAATTTCAAGATAACATAACAAATACGGATACTGAATATTGTTACTGGACAAAATCAGTATCTAATTGCTGACAAAAGACAAGCGAGCGATTTAAAAGCATATTGGCACAGCCTACTTGACCGCTCGTGAACAAAATTTAGTTTGTTTACGTATTAGGACTTAAAACAAGATCCCCTAGTGTTTTTATTTATGCGTGAAGTTCCGACACCTCACACGTGAGGCACACATGCTTTATTGTTACCCAAAACGAAGTGATTCAGATCGACTTGTATTTTTAGTGATCTAATTTCATTTTAATCTCAACTCTTATCTCAGGTATTGTTATTTTTTTTCCCTACCTATTAGGTGGTAGCCTAAGGGGCTATTCCAGCTACGCCCGGACGGGTAGGTGAGCTCACTGGCTCAACCTGAGAGAATTTGCTAAAACTAGCTCTAGTAGGAGCAGTGCTTCGCAAAACCTACCACCGGAACGGAATCGCGACTTAATGAGAGCATCCGGCGAGTTGTAGCTTGGGTTCGTGTCTTGTTCCTTCGAGCAGCAACAAATTGACAGATTTCGATCATATTTACAACTTTTTTTTAGTTCTAAACTCACTTCTAACTGTGACAAAAATGGTCCCCTTTTTTATCAATTCATTACAACAATGAATACCTGAATAATTGTAAAATAGTGATACATCATAGAGGTAGAAGTAATCCTAAGAAGAAATGAATAGATTGCGTGAAAGACGATATGTGTAAAAGGGGAGTGAGCGAAGATATGATATATGATAGAGGAGTATGGAAGGAGAAAACATGTTGCGCCGACCCCAGGTGACTGGGAGAAGGGCAAGAGTGATACACGATAATTTTTTCGAAAAAAATATAAGTATATCCTTTAGTCAAATACTATTCAAGTTTATTATTCTTTTAAGGCGGATGGCTATGGGAATGCAACCTAGCAATAATACACTAGTAAATATAAACGACATACTTACATTCTGTAGGCGTTCAAAGTTTTCGACATTATGAGAATCTTAATTAGCAAGAATAATCCATTTCACTTTAACACTAAAAACACTACACTTAAAATATAATACAAAAATATTCACTAATAATACTGTTCCACTATAAAATAATGTTATAGAAAATTAATTATTGGTTAGCTATTAAATCTAAAACGCATTTACACATTTCTTGACGACCTCTTGGAGCAATTATGAACACAAGCTTAGTGGAGATGTTATTGTATCTAAACAATTTTAACATTTATTTTATTTTATTTAATGTTATAAGACACGTGTGTTTTTGGCACGTGTAACGACAATAAAATAAATATATACATGACAATTGTTGCACAATAAATGACAAGACAGAGACGGATATATGTTGGTGTCATACGTTAGACAGAGACGACATCGACAAGTGTTCAAAATAGATCAATCCTACGCAACTATCCCGGCGTCGGTGCGCTGTGTCGTTGATCTCATCAAATAGTTTTTTTGTTTGTTTGTTTATTTTTATTTTACCGGTCTAGATCCTAAGAATGCTAAGGATCTAGGAATCTAAGATAATATAGGGTGTATCATATACACATACTACTTTTATTTATTCTTCATTACATTACGAACTAAATATGTATGCTTCCAACTCTTGTCCGTAGATCTTGTAGGTTGTATGATACTGTCCTCTAATGCTGACATGTTTTGTTTGTCACCCGTAGCAAGCATATAGAAATGCTATTTTATTAAGATTTAAAGTGTAATTTGTTGTACATATGTGCGTAATGTGTTGCTTTTGGTTTGTTTGTGTAAACTTAAATTTCTGAATTTCTCTTTTTTCTCTTACTTCACTTTTTACTTATATGTGATTTTGATGGTGAAAACTTGTTTGCTTATTGATTTAGTTTTTTTATTTATTTATTATACTCCTATTTGTTTTGTACTGTTGGTTTTCCAAATAAATAAGTAGAAAATAAATTAAATACGGTATATAACACGGTAGCCGCACGTTTTGCTTTACTTTTTAAGAAAACCAAACGTGGCCCGTTGCCATTATTGGAACGATTTGATTGAGAAACAAGCCTTTATACCCACTAAGCAGGGCTTATCTTAAATGCTATTAACACATATATTAACATATCTCATGATAGAATGGTAAGATCGACTGTTATGTTCAAAAGCGCAAAACGCTCCTTTAATCTGTTAATCTCCAATAGCTTAAGTGTAACTTTAGATTTGTCATGGGAATACCAATCGAAGAGAGCATTCGATTATATGCTTTTACGCAACTTATAAGAATCGATATTCCAACAATGAGGTTTTATTAAGAAAACATAAATAGACGACCTTGAAACGACTCTGGTCCCTGGAGCAATGACACTGATTTACGTAGCGGGGCAACAACCAGAGTCTAGGACGCAAATACCCATGCAACTATAATTTTATTGCTTTTGTCTCAATCGCCAACCACTTTAAATTGGCTACTCTAAAAAATTGGACAGTTTAAACATTACTAGTGGTCCCACGGTAGTCGAAATCCTATACTAAATTCTAGACTATATTTAATGGAAATTAGAAGTTTGTACACCATTACGATTCTATTATCAAAGACTTCTATAATCACAGATTTCCCCAAGGATACACTATAGACAAATAATATTGAAGACAACATTATTAATCTATTCTCAATTTGACCATAGACTTTAACAATAAACAAAAGAGTGTGTGTCAAATACATGGCAGTGTGTGTAATGTTTTTTCTATTGATTTAATGTATTTATTATGAAGAATTAAAACAAAAATTTGCATTCTGCACTCCTTCTCTATATTCTCTATAAGTGCGGGAAATTTCATACTCCTCCGTCCGCGCAATTTTCGTAAAAAGAAGTACAAAGTTTTTGCTTCACGTATTATTTTAAAGATGAAGAATGTGTGAATAGGGAATGAAAAGAGTTCTGAAGGAGCACTGTTTCAGAAGCACAAACTAAATAAATGTTGTAAGAAGTACGAAGAGTTGAGGGTATTTCTCTTGGACTTAACCGTAAAATAGACATTACTCCAAATGACCAACCAACATCAAAGAGTTAAAAAAAAAACCAAACACTAAGTACAGCGTAGTAATAAAATCGGCATCCTTCCAAATTACCAATATTTAAAAAAAAAACCAAGCTCCAACTACAGAGCAGTCATAAAAATATCAGCTGAAGAAACGAGAACAGACATCAATCGATCTGTTATAACACAATATCACAATCATTGAACAGTACTCAAAAACGTACTCAAATAGCATCCAACGACAGCTAAAGTAGTTTCGTTGATACGATATAGGTCAGCCGTTGTGCTATTGTGTGTGCGAAATCATTTAAAACGTTTCCAACATTGCTTAATCACAAATAGCCGTTGCAAATCAAATAGCAACACAGTTATTTTCTTTATACTTCTGTTTAAACCATTATCTTTATTGTTGTTGCACTTTAGAAAATCTGCTTAAGATTTTCCGTTTTATGTCCTTATTAATTTAATTATATAACTAAAAATATATAAATAGAAAAATATTATAATATCAAATTAAAGATAGTTTTGAAGGTTAGACGTGGCCTCTAAATGTTACTAAGGACTTAGTGAACAAATATGTACATTAGCAGATACCAGATTAGGAATGGTCATTTTTAAAGGCATTATACATTAATAATCTATCGAATAGTGCCTTTGAAAAGGATTTTTCATATTGAAACTTATTTTTCTGCAGTGAAAATATTTATGTTGTGTCCAAAGTCTGGAAAATAAGCCCACGGAAGGATATTATTTTTTCTTGATACCAATCCACGAGAACTACGCAAACAAAAGCATTTTTATTAAAAATATGTGGTCAGTGCTTTATCGTCAAATTGTTTTAGGGACCGACCCTCAAGCTAAATACTGCCCACCTTTTTAAAAAAGGTCAGCTTTAGTTCAATGTCCTTTAAGGAAGGGAGCCGTTCAAAATATCGGAATTTTTAATAAACCGATTCGTTCAAAATAGCTTCCGATGAGAAGAATCATTGAGATGGAACAATACTTTTTGTTCACCTGTTATAATCCTACATCAGTACATGTGACTCTTTTTGCATAGCGAAATTCGAAAATAAAAAATAATACTATTTCTAATTGAAACCGCATCAAATTCGTTTCAAGATATAAAATGTAATTGGATAATAACAAAATTCGTAGTTATCATGATTAAAATGTTGTACAGTGATAACTGGCTTAATAACCGAAATGATATTGTGTCCTATTATTTGACAGTTGATGACATACAAATTAAGATGGATAGACGGATAGAATTCAGATACAGTGTATACAATGGCGATTGTTAGAAAGTAACATAATGCTCCAAGACTAAAATTGAAACCATCGGTGAAAAAGAAGAAAGACCTTGATGGGAATTTTAAACAGCGAAATCTAATTAACATAACGATAACAACTTTATAGACCTATTAAAAATCATTATACTGAAAATATTTTCTGTTGTGTACACAAATTTTTTTACAAACAGGCACACTCTACACGTTTTTATAGTACACAATCAATACATTATACAAAAAAACCTCGTTCACTTGCACGCAATATTTAGGGTCGCAACATTTTAACCAATCGAAACAGCGTATAAATCGCGTTATGCACTATATATCCATCGTAACGAAGAAATATCTGAAATCGCATTGAATTCCTGGACTAGAACATTGAACAAATTAAAAACAAAAGGTCGTCAAGAAAAAGCGGTAACGTTCTCACTTGGCTAATCGATTTACATTAGAAAAACTGCGGACGGTTTCTTTTTGGACGCGTAAACGTTTTTTTTATTTTTATTTGTAATTTAATTGTGTGCCGGTATGCGGTAGATATAGGACACGCCCGCCCCTCGTGAGCGTCCGTTGCGTACTAAACTAAATCGACTGGGCTAGTGTGGCGCACGCAGCCCGACGCTATGCGATTAGTATTATCGAGTCGATAGAAGACAGCGCGACAAGCTGATTTTATGAATATTTCAACTGTTATCTATTTATATTACCTAAAAATTCGAACATAATCTAAGAGGTAGATAATTCTCACCATCTATTTTTTGCATTCAATCTAGTCATTCTATTCATGAATTGGAGTTTAATTTCTCTTTATCTATAATTTTATACCACGAAAATGGAAGAACGAGCTTACGGCCTACTTGATGTTTAGTGGTTACCGCAGCGCACTTAAATCAAAACGGGAATGTTGTACCCAATTGTGACCCATTTTGACAGGAGCCTTGAAATAGTCAGGGCGATGTTACTCATCAATACGCGCTCACTTGATATCTCACCAACATTAAATTTGTTCCATTTCCGCTCTATGTTGCTTCTTAAATGTTGTAGTTAACCATTTCTGTGCGTAAACGATAATTCTTATGAAACTAAGTATTATTTTGTCTACTGTATTTTTATTATATAAATATTGTATAATTTATTGCATAGATAACGATGCAATGAGCTCACTGTCGAACCGATCAGCAATGCGTCCTTTTGAATTCCCAAATTTAAAATAAAACCAATATACGTGAATCGAAAACGTTGCACGACCCTAGTTTCCAATCGCGTTAGAGGGAAGTCCATCCCTATCCTCGCCCCTGAAGTTGTGCAAACTACCCTTATGCACACAGACGAAATGCGGGGGTTACCATGATTCCAATACTTATGGGATGATACGATCGATTTAGACAAAAGAATAACATTTAATAGATAAACTATAAGAAAATCATTCGAAAACTAAAAATAGCCTTCGTAGCTGGAGATAAAATTATTTTAGCCAAATACGTTCAAGAGTCGCGTTACATAATAAAACTATGGCAAGGTCAAAAGAATCGATCGCTTAGAGACGCCGAAACGTCTGGATGAACAAATGTCTTCAATACGTATTAATGAACATTATGCAATTTTAAACCCGTCAATGTTTACAAAAACGGGTAATAATAATTTAAAGCCGTCTGTGTAAATATTAATTTCAATATAATTTACTTTTATATCTTAATGTACTGCATTATTGAGTTGTCGGAAGAAAACTCCAGTATTGAGGTTAAGTGTTTATTCTGTTTGTAATTTGCAGTTTTTATGGATTTACTTTATGTGATGGTACTGCAAATATTGAACATAATGCTTTCGAGTCGGGTACACCAGTAAAGCTGAGTTGTTACAGATGCTTATGAACATCAACAATGGTGGGGGCTCAGCTGAGCCGCCGAAACTACTAGAACATTTCTTGAATATTATAAAGTAGGAAGTAATGGTGGTACAAGTACAATTTGGTAGCTAAGGTAGTCGGAGCGTGTCCATTGCGCCAGCAAACGACAAAAGATAAGTAAACAAAATTCTACCTTATTTTAATTCTAAAACACGATTTGAAGCATTGTCGAAACGTCTTTATTTATCTCAATCAAGTTAATCTATGTTGACCTTCTGGATGTGACGGCGAAGCCTGCTAATTACAGGTACCCACTGCCGCAACGCGCTATCCGTGAAAATTAAATAAATTAGAGGGTCATCGGTCTTATGTAATGAATGAACGCTTCCACTGCCTTCATGGTCAATTGGTGACTTCATTTATATAAAAAAAAAAATAGCTGACCCGGCAGACTTCGTAGTGCCTCTATCGATAAATAAAAGACCTAAACTTTTGTATAAAATAAACTTAAAACAAACAAAAGGAATCCGTCCGACGGAGGACACATCGAAGGAAAAACAAAATTATTATTTTTATTTAATTTCGAGCATTTTCATATTTATCTACCTTTTAAACCTTCTCTGGACTTCCACAAATAATTCAAGACCCAAATTAGCCAAACTGATCCAGCCGTTCTCGAGTTTTAGCGAGACTAACGAACAGCAATTCATTTTTATATATTCTATAGATAATAGATAATTTGATATATATGTAAAATCCTCAAGAATTCATTTGGTTTGTATTTCGTTGATTGATATCGTTCGAGCATGGTCACCCTTTGTGGTCGATATTACGATTTACGTGCATACAAACAAACCGATCCTGTTTATACCTAAATATATATACCTACGACAGAATAAGCCTTGCGTCTGATAATTATAGCCTGGAACATCAAGTAGGATTGTTTGTTCGGTACGAATTTTCTCTCATCCAATAAAAGGGTATATGAGTCGTCTATTATCAAAGGTGGCAATCTGTGCATTTGGACAAAATTTTTTTATTGATATGTCAATACAGATTGATTTGAATATAATCGTCTCCTTCAAAGAATACGGTTCAAAACCTGCATTAAATAAAGGTTAATAGTTAACCTGTTATTTATCTAAGATGTCGTTCCGAAGAGTTTTGTGACTGCCAATAGAATACAAAGTCAATAATTCGTTTTTCTGATTTACCAATCATTGTCCAAAAGTCAGATTGCCGGCTTTGATAATAGTCGACTCATATGTAGTACTCTACCAGTAAAAGTTTTACCTTAAAGTTCATTACTCTACTAAGTATATTGTGCTTTATTGTACACTAATTAAAAAGCAAATGTAAAAAATACAATAGATGGTCTTATCTCTAAAAGCTGACAACCTGATGGACAAGAAGAAACATCTAAGGAAATAAATTTGCCACGGTGAGCTTATCTATTGAAAAAAGAATGTAAATATCACTAAATTAATGACCTCAATTCCATTTTACACATGTAAATAAATAAACAACGATAGATTAAATGCATATAGTACTATAAAATTAAGTATTTTTCGTGGAATCGACTAAATCTTTGCGAATCCCCTAATGTGTGAAGTCGTCGTGGCCTAACGGATAAGACGTCCGGTGCATTCGTGTTGAAGCGATGCACCGGTGTTCGAATCCCGCAGGCGGGTACCAATTTTTCTAATGAAATACGTACTCAACAAATGTTCACGATTGATTTCCACGGTGAAGGAATAACATCGTGTAATAAAAATGAAACCCGCAAAAGTATAATTTGCGTAATTACTGGTGGTAGGACCTCTTGGGAGTCCGCGCGGGTATATTCCACCACCCTGCCTATTTCTGCCGTGAATCAGTAATGCGTTTTGGTTTGAAGGGTAGGGCAGCCGTTGTAACTATAATTGAGACCTTAGAACTTATATCTCGAGGTGGGTGGCGCATTTACGTTGTAGATGTCTATGGGCTCCAGTAACCACTTAAAACCAGGTGGGCTGTGAGCTCGTCCACTCATCTAAGCAATAAAAAAAATAAAAAAAATGCATACAGTACTATAAAATGAAGTATTTTTCGTGCAATCGACAAAACCTTTGCGAATCCCCTAGTGTCATCATTGATTCATGAACTATAAAACGCAAAGTCCATCCGTCTTATTACAGCTTAAGTTACGGAATAATCCATGATTCCCGATACCAAAACACGGCATATTTTTACTACCCGCAAAATGATTAGACACTTCGAACAATGAAAATTAGAAATCTTCAATAATTGCAATTCGGAAACGTTACAACAATTGGAAGTTAGATAAGATTATGTTCTCGACAAACAGCTTATTGTTAAGTCTCAATCAACTTTCACCATCATCATAAGTCGACGGGCGGCAAAGATTAACTAATTATTTTATCTGTGACCACCCTACATCGTGCAATTTACGTTACAACAAATAGGTTTCGTGGTGAACACGATTGAATTGTCTTTTCTCTATAGTGAAAGTTTCACGGCGTGAGAAACCATATTACGGTAGATAATATGTAGAATGATTGTAAATTTGTAATGAGGACTATAATTATGAATTCGAAAACGTTTGAGAACAGACTGATATGGTAATAGCATAAATCTTTAATATAACCTTTTGCACTCATGAGTATCGCTTGCCACATGATTTAATGACAAAATCCACTTCGATAAAGCGGCACGACACGAGAACCCTCTCATCGTGGCCGCTGGTAACTACATTCACGATCCTGCGGACAGAATGGAAAGCAGTCGACGTCGCCCCAAACACGTCTTTTCGGATCCTCCCGATCCACTAACGGTGCTTATAGGTACCTCAAGCACAGGGCATCGTTCTCGTCGAACCCGTCGCTTGCGACGAAGGGCTCGACGAGTAAATTAACCCTCAGACACAGACCACTGAGTTTCTCGCCGGATCTTCTCAGTGGGTCGCGTTTCCGATCCGGCGGTAGATTCTGCGAAGCACGGCTCTTGCTGCAACGTCATCAGGTTTGAGCCCCGTGCGCTCACCTACTAGTTAAGGCGACGCTGATATAGCCTCTCAAGGCTATCAGTTTAGGTAGGAAAAAAAATGACAAAAAGAACGATAAGAACAGATATCAGAAACATAAACAAGATGTCAATCATTAAATATTAAATAAAGTAACATAAATAGTTAACCCAGCATACAAAGTGGTGAGCGAGACTCATCTCTCGAGTGCAAAGTGTTAAAACCGAACAATACACGCACATTTTCCAAACAATTTCTAGCTAAAGCTAACAATACCTTTCAAATGACACTTATCCGATTTATCTAGCGAATTTTCCAAGTCTTTAGATATGACACCATCTCACTCACCCTTTCAACGTTGATTCTCCGCTGCCAAAATAGAAGAAGAAGTGGTAATTACTCATAATTTTTCAGAAATGAAGATCTTTTCTTTACGAGATTAAACGTTTTAATAATATTTTTATCCCATCATTTAGACTTACGACAGTGTGCAACCGCATAAAGTACTACACCGCATAATTAAGAATAATGTATGATAATTATGGTTACGAAGTAATGACAGACGGTTGTCGCTCCAAGGGAAAACGAACCGGTTTTAGAATAGTAAGGAACGTGTTTATGAGCTGCATTCTATTGTTTTTTTTTCTTGTCTAAAGGTAGCTCCACACTTTAAACGAGAATATAAAAAAATATAAA